TATTAAATTATAAAAATTTATTATATAATAATTATTTAATTAAATTTTTCTACATAAAAATTCACAAAAGAAGTCATTATTATATGACAAATTTATCCAGACATTCCACATTGTATATATCAATGTGCAATGTATTTATGATTAATCTCAGTTACATATTTTGTTTTAATATTAGTTAATATATAAAGGATTGTTCTGATTAATTATATTGTTTTTACCTTAGAAAACGGATTATTTAATTAATTTCTGAAGAAAATCATCACATAAATATCCATTTATCTTGGATTTATAGCGAATATTTATATACATAAATTCGTGTTTTTGTTATATTCATTATATGAAATTGCTTTCGGTCATCAACCCCGTCGAATGGATTCATCTCTAGATATTTATATAATTGATTCTATCCCCAGAATTAATATTATACAATCTCTTGAGTATAGTATTATTATTATTATCTGCACATTAACTCTGTTATCGTGTTTTTACATATTTTAACATCCACAAATTAAAAGTTATGCATGTAAGATAAAGAAGATAAGAAAGAACACCTACAAAAGTTATACATTTTGAATTTTTCTGTTAATTGAGTATAAAAAGGGCCTGCAGAAACATTTAAAACGCACCAAAACATAGAAGGGCCCTCCAAAAATTTAATCTTTTATGCAAAAGATACGAGAGTGATATAAATTTTATAAAGAAGTATTGAAAATTTACTTTTTATTGATTATTTTTTTTCATATATTTTATGAATTAAGAAAAGTTCGGGCCCCGTATTTATTACTAGCTGAAGTCCTGTCATGTCTTGATCGTGCTCTTAAACAAATAAATATAGGGCAGCCCAAAAATCAGTTAACCGTTTAAGAGAGTAAATTGCAATTAATCAATTCCTTAATTATAATATTACCATCAATTTCGCAAAATAAAGCGTGTTGTTCTAATCTTACTATTTATAGGCCTATGGTAAACAAAATATGGTTAACTGACTTTTGGCCACTTTGTATAGATATTTTAAAGTTTGTATTTTAAATTAATTCTAGCAAATGAATTGATATGTGACTGGCTTGCTTATTTTTAAATTGACTCGAAAATAACTTTTAGATTTTTAACTTTAGCATCATCAGATTTAAAATATACAATATTTATAGATTATAAGCGTTTTTTTAATTTATTAATTCATTAGTTTGAGATATTTATAGTGATTCTGTGCGAAAATCTTAACAGTAATCTTTTCTATTATCATAGATAATACATCTCAATGTTAGTGTTTAACATTACTGTTCGTAAATTATACATAAAGTTATCTGTTTAGAAAATCTTTTAACTTAATTTGTAAGTAAAATATGCATAAATAACAGAATTTATTTATGGAAATTTCACTTTAAATTCTATATTATCATCATGAATTGTTTTTAATCAAAATGCCATATTACCTCAATATTAGAATATTAAAAAACTATTAGTTAATATTTATTATAATTTTATATACAGTTATTATTATTATTTTGCATTTTAAGACACATTTTTATTTAAAAAAAAAATATTAGATATTAAATCGTCAGAACTTTATCCTGAATAAAAACAATCACAGAACAGAAAAAGTAATCCTTGTATTTAGTAGTATATAACTTCTAACGTGTGTAACAACTGCTAAGAAGTAATAATTGGCAAGTGTTGATATCAGCAAGTGAGAGTAAAGTAAACCTTGATTAATTACAGGATAATGATAGGTCACTAGTCTTAATCTCTAAACTTAGAAGGAGTCCCGAGAGGCTTTTCTTAGCATACTACGTGTATAAAGGGGGGTTAACGAACTGCACAAAATCTTCATACTAAGTTGACTTGAAAGAAGAAAACTAGTGAATTAAAATCTCGATGCAATGTCTGAAAAACTATAAAATTCCCGAAACATTTAAACGTTTTCTTTTCTTGTTTTATTTCGGTGAATAAAAGACTTTTGAACTTATTAATAAATAAATAACATTGAACATTTTAATTTTAATTATATATAAATAAAATAAGATGTTAAGAAAAAATGCGTTTGTCTTCTTTGTGAAACCCTCATCTTGTTAAGATGATAAATACTTTCACCACCTTAGCTATATGTCAGTCATTGTACACACGTGTATTCGGTTCTTAAATACTTTTCTACATTGTTCTGAGCTATCTTAATGTTTATTTTTATGATTTTCTGTTTGTTTCTTTAATAAAAATTAATATCTAAAATTGACGTAAGAAATTGTTACACGAGCTTTGCTTCAACTACTGTGCAATATCCATTAANAAATAAAAAAAATACACCTTCTCATCCTTTTGATATAAAGTATATTTTAAACTTATTAAATTTAGATGATAATCTTTTATAGATCAGTTATTTATATATATATGTAGTATTTGTAGCATCACAAAATTCTCATCTAGAAGAATACTTTAGATCATATTTCAATAACAACTTGAAAGTATCTCGTTTATCACCATTCGTCATCTTGCCCTTTAATACCTTTTTTTTAATATAATAACAGGTTAACTTATTCTAATAGATTATAATGTTTATTTTTAAATGTAATAAGATCAAAGGTTAAAAATTTTTACACGTTTAAATCGATTTTACACATTATAAATATATTCATTAGCAGAAGTCTATCCGAATATCGTTGTTAAGAATTCGAGAGATTTTTTTTTTAAAGTAAAATATTCCCTCATAACAAAGTTAAAAAGTGAATATCAAAGTAAGTAGCTTATATATTAACAAAAAAAAATATTTTTTTTACCCGTTTATAGATGTAAGAATGTCAGTTTATATAAAATAATTTGCAAATATTTACTTTATTGACACAAAGCTTACGGATAAATAGAATTTATTGTTATATAATCGAATATTTTATCGGGTAAATTCTATATAATTTACATGTCTATAGATTATGTACCTAATAATCGATTTATGTGTAAACTTTTAGAAAACGTATACATTAAAGTAAATTATTTGAGTTATTTTCATATTAAATTGTTATAAGTTAATAAGTAATATTTACATAGAGTTAGAGAGAAGTTAGTAGGGAATGAAAGCATTACTTACCTATCGACACCGATAACAGCTAACGTATACACACTGACTATAACGGAACAATGCTGCATAAATTGTACGAAAGGGCAGAAATTCGGATCAAATATCCAACGACCAAACATAAAATCTGTGTAAGTAAATGGGATAGAAAATATGGCCATAGTTATATCGGATAAAGCAAGATTAATCAAGAAGATTCTTAATTCTCTCGATGATCTTTTACCAGTTAAAAGTACTATAACAACTGTTATATTCCCAGCAAATGCCATTATAGCAGTTAAAGAATATAAACTGATTAGAAATGCTTGCATTTCTGGACCCAATGCATCGAGTGATGTTATATTATATTCCATATACATAATATCGGTATCGTTTGACGAAATCGAATCATATTCCATGATTAGTTAGAATGGTAGAGTTAGAAAACAAGAGAAAAGATCGAGTGTGTCACACTCTACCTGATGCTCACTTTGGTGTGGCGATACACGTTGTTAGTTGTCTGAATTTCGACCAATGAAAGAAGGGGTGGTGCCGCACAAGCAGGCGCTGTGAGATGTTTGACAGCCAAACGCTTTCTCCCCTTTTGTGTGATGCAATCTTTGCTTTTCCTGTATGCAAAATTTTCATAATCCTTCCTAGCGAATTTCTAGGTAATAATGCTAATTTTAAATTCTTTTTAATTACAAGTTAATTCTAACTAATTATATACTTTAAATTACTTTAGTTATTATCGAGTTAAAATGTTTATTAATTGCTTTTAACTGATGTTACTTGCCTGAAAATGTGTTTAAATTTACAATTGTTTAAACTTTTACAGTTGACGGAGATTTGAAACAAAATGCCTTAATAAAAAACCGTAAATTACGTTTAAGAAGATCATACGAATAGAGTTCAAAGTTCATTAATTTGATCGGAATTTCGAACAAAAATGGAATTTCTCATCGACTGAATCCACATTTACTGGATAATGGAACTTACCATTAATATAAACATAGACCGCAATACTGTTATTGTTATGCTGGGTACTAACTTATGGAAATTCTCACTGACTGTAATCTTAGATGATAATTTAATTTCCATAATAAATTTTGGTATAAAATTAACAAAGTATTTAATAAAAATTGTTTTAGATGATAACTTTACTTCCATAACTAAAGCTGGATTAAATGCCATTACATTTGTACTAAATTCGAATTGGGACGAAAGTATCATTTACGTTATCAAATTTATTCTACGTTTATGGAAATTATTATTTATTATCATTTTAGACGATAATATAATTTGTGTATTAAAGTTTGCTTTAAAGTTAATAAGATGCTTTTTATTAATTATCATGGACGAGAATGTTGTAGCAGTCTTCAGGTTTAACGTCAAGTTATGCAAGTTACTTATACTCTTAATGCTAGATGAAAATATACTTTATTTACTAAAATTCAGCGTAAGAATTTCGCAATTATTTGTTAATCTCAGCCTAAATGATACCTCCATTTCCGTAATCATATTCGCCATTAAGCTATGGAAATTCTTGCTGATTCACGTGCTAAACGAAAATATACTTTCAGTATTGATACTTTGCATTCGTTTATGGAAATTTCTACTCATGTTAACATTCAATGAGCAAGTAATTTACATAGTTATGCTTAGTACAAGATTATGCAATGCCCTATCACCTATAGTATTGAACGAGAACATAATTTCCATAACTATGATCAGCATCAAGCTATGGAAATTATTACTGAATTTAATCTTTGATGAGAATATTGTCAGCGTTATACTCTTCAGTTTCAATTTATTTAAGATTTTATCATCATTAATACTGGATGAAAATATAGTTATAGTATTAATGTTTGCTGTTAAAATATGGAAATTAATGATAACATTATTCTTCGATGAGAACATGGTTTTCGTAATAATTGTCTGGTTGAGATTATTAAAATTGTTAATAACATTATTACTAAATGAAAATACAATTAATACTATAGGCGAAGGTTTAAAATTATTTAAATCTTTAACATTATTTTTAGACGAAAATCTTATTTATATTGCCATGAATTGGTTAAAATTATGTAAAATTTTAACTAAATTATTACTAGATGATAATCTTATTACTTTAATTATATGTTTTGTTAAGTTAGGAAAGATTTTATTAACATTAATTCTGGATGAAAATGTGATATCATTAACTATGTTTGGTTTAAAATTATGGAGATCTTTCCTTACTTTAACATTAGATGATAATACTGTTACTATAGCCAAGAATGCAATTAAACTATGCAAATCTTTTGTTACTTTGAAATGTAATGTATTTAATTAAGAGGAATTTTTATATAAAATCAAATTTTTCTAATGGAAATAAATACGTTTTTAAATCTTATTATTCATAGTTTGTATGTGATTCTTATTTAATTAATTAATTACGTATATAGTTTTATAATGTGAAATTAATATTTGACTTTTCTACACTCTACATAAATATTTAAAAAAAAATTATTCGTAAGGAAAAGAGTAATTTTTACATAAACATTTTTTTTTTGACAATTTTATATCCGAAAATTAAATAATTCAATGCAAAATATCTAATTTTTACATTAAAAATACGATAATAATGCAGAAATAAATATCTTTAGATGTTAGTTATATTAATAAATACACTGGATCTTCCGTACATTTTTGATGATAGAAAATTAATTTTTGAGTTTTTACACTTTATATAATTTATTTACAAACGTTAATTGTGTTGTAACTCTGTATAATTTTTACAGCAACAATCTTAAATGTAAAAATTAAATTATTTCATGCAAATAATTATTTTTTTTTTCGTCAAAAATTTAATAGCATCGAACCTTCAATAATGGCCACCTCCCAATGACGGTCGCCTGTAAACTGTGGACAATTCTTAAATTATTTATTTATTTATTTTTCTATTTATACAAAACAATTTATAATAATATTTTTATGATTTTTTAAATTAATTTTTCAAATGTTTTTATTAATGGAAAATGAATATTTAAGGCCTTCTACAGTTTACAACATATATATATATATATATATATATAGCTTATATTTTAATTTAAAAGTATAATTTAGTATATTTCTTAT